TCTGTGAAGTGTGACCAAGTGTAATGTAGAGTAGCAGATATCCCTGTTATCTAGCTGTTTTTATGGAACAGAACAAGAAACCAGCAATCCTAGCCTACCATCATGCAAAACAGTACAGGTTTCTGTTTCACAGTCATCTGGCATGGACGGTATTACTTCCCTGGGTGTTGCTGTCTACCAACCTACCTACCAGATGAATTATATAAATAAATATATAAATATATGCTGGTTTCTTTTCTGTCTCATAACACGCAAAAGATAACAGGGATAGCTTGCAACTCCTACTTACACTTTGGTCACACTTCACAGACCCGCTACATGCATATATATAATACATACACTCTAGGTTTTTCTCCTTTTTCCTAATAGCTCTTGTTCTTTTTATTTCTTCTATTTGTCCATGGGAAGTGGAAAAGAATCTTTCCTCCGTAAGCCATCGTGTCGATAGGCGACGAAAATGCGGAGCAATGGACTAGTAACCCCTTCGCCTGTAGTACATTTACTAAAAAAGAGAAGAAGAAAAACTTTATAAACTGGGTTGCTTAACTGTGCGTGGATGTAGTGCGGATGACAAGCAAACAGATGATTGCTGATGTTATGAATGAAAAGAAGTCGGATGTCCTGGCCCTAAGCGAACCAAAGCTGAAGGGGTAGAGAGTTTCAGAGGGGGAATAAAATGGATTAAATCTGGAGTATCTGAGAGAGTTTAGAGCAAAGGAAGGGGTAGCAGTAATGTTAAATGATCAGTTTATGGAAGGAGAAAAGAGAAGATGAATGTGTAAATTCAAGATTATGTGGATTAAACAGTCAAGGTTTGGATGGCGAGAAGTGGGTCATAAAAGCAGTATGCACCTGGAGAAGAGAGAATGCAGAGGAGAGAGAGAGATTTGGGAGATGATAAGTGAATGTATAAGCCTTTGAACCACGTGAGAGAGAATTGTGGTAAGGGGACTTGAATGCTAAAGTAGGAGAAACTTTTAGCGAGGGTGTGGTAGGTAAGTTTTGGGTGCCAGGTGTAAAATGATGAATGGGATCCGCTTTGATTGAACTTTGTATGAGAAAGGGGTTTAGTTATAAGTAATACATATTTTAAGAAAAAGAGGATAAATAAGTATACACGATATGATGTAGGGGCGTAATGACAGTAGTTTGTTGGATTATGTATTGGTAGATATAAGACTGTTGAGTAGACTTCAGGATGTACATGTTAATAGAGGGGCCGCAGATAATCAGATCACTTTCTAGTTGTATGCTACACTGAGAGTAACAGGTAGATGGGATAACAAGGAGAATAGAAACAGCATCAGGGAAGAGAGAGGTGAAGGATTATAAATACTAAAAGAGGAGAGTTAGTAAGATATAACAGCATTGGAGGATAGATGGGCTAATGAGAGCATAGGCAATGGGTCGAAGAGGTATGGGGTAGTTTTAAAATGTATGTTAGAGTGTTCAGCAGAAGTTTGTGGTTTACAGGAAAGTGGTGCAGGAGGGAAAGGTGCGATCTGGTGGAATGATGATGTAAAGAGAGTAGTAAGGGAGAAAAAGTTAGCATATAGAAGTTTTTACAAACTAGAAGTGATGCAAGGAGGGAAGTATATGGAGAAAACGAGAGAGGTTAAGAGAGTGGTGAAAGCAATGTTAAAAAGAGAGCAAGTGAGAGAGTGGGTGAGATGTTACAACAAATTTTGTTGAAAATAAGAAAAAGTTTTTGGAGTGAGATTAACAAGTTAAGAAAGCCCAGAGAAACACATGGATTGTCAGTTAAAAAATAGGAGTAGGATAGTTATTAAATGGAGAGTTAGAGGTATTGGGAAGATGGAAGAATATTTTTGAGAATTGTTAAATGTTTTGATGAAAGATAGGGAAGCTGTGATTTCGTGTATAGCAAGGAGGAGATAACACTTGTAGAGGTGAGGAAGAGCCAGTTTGAGTTGGGGGAAGTTCGTGAGGCAGTAGGCCAAATGAAAGGGGGTAAGGCTGCCGGGGATTGATGGGATAAAGAATAGAAATGTTAAAAAAAAGCAGGTGGGGATATAGTTTTATTTTGGAAGTGTGGTGCAATTATTTAATAAATGTATGGAAGAGGGTAAGGTACCTAGGATTGGCAGAGAGCATGCATAATTCCTTTGTATAAAGGCAAAGAGGGATAAAAGAGAGTGGCACAAATTATAAGGGGGGATAAGTCTGTTGAGTGTACCTGGTAAAGTGATATGGTAGAGTTAGAATTGAAAGAATTAAGAGTAAGACGGAGAATAGATAGCATATAACAAGGAGGCTTTAGGAAAGTAGGGGGTGTGTGGCCCAGGTGTTACAGTGAAACATATAATAACAGTATTTAGATATAAGCTAAAGAGGTCTTTGTGGCATTATGGATGTGGAAAAGGCATATGACAGGGTGGATAGGGGGCAATGGGGCAGATGTTGCAAGTGTATGGTGTAGGGATGTGGTTACTGAAAGCAGTGAAGATTTTTATTATACGAGGATAGTGAGGCTCAAGTTAGAGTATGTAGAGAAAAAGGAAATTTTCCCCATGTAAAAGTAGCCTTAGACAAGGAATTGTGCTGTCACCGTGGTTTGTTATTAATATATATATAATGGGGTTGTTAAGAGAAGTACATGCGAGGGGCTTGCAAAGGCCGTGGAGTTAAAAGATAAAGAATCCCACCCAAAGTGGGAGAATGTCCAGCTGCTCTTTGCTGATGACACTGTGCTCTTGGGAGAATCTGAAAGAGAAGGTTGCAGAGATTGGTTGATGATTTGGGTAGGGTGTGCCAAGAAGAAATTAAAGGTTGAATACAGGAAAGAGTAAAGGTTTATGAGGATAACAAAAAATAGGTGATGAAAGATTGAATATCAGATTGGAGGGAGAGAGTATGGAGGTAGGTGAATGTATTCAGATATTTGGGAGTGCCGTGTCAAGCGATGGGTCTATAAAGAAGAGGTGACCATAGAAATGATGAGGGAAAAAGAGTGGAGGTGGTGCACGTTAGGAGTCTGTGGAGACAAAGAACTTTGTCTTGAGGCAAGAGGGGAATGTATTAGAGTATAGTTTTAACCAACGCTCTTATTTGGGTGTGAAGCGGGTGATGAATGTTGCAGCGAGGAGAAGGGGCTGGAGGCAGTGGAGATTCATGTCTGAGGGCAATGTGTGTGTGGAATATAATGCGAGAATTCGTAGTTTGGAAGATAGGAGGATGTGCGGGATTACCAAAACTGTTGTCCAGAGGGCTGAGGAAGGTTGTTGAGGTTGGTTCGGACCTTAGAGAGAATGGAGCGAAACAAGAATGACTTCAAGTGTGTATCAGTCTGTAGCGGAAGGAAGGCGGGGTAGGGGTCGGCCTAGGAAGGGTTGGAGGAGGGGGTAAAGGAGGTTTTGTGTGCGAGGGCTTGGACCTTCCAGCAGGCATACGTGAGCGTGTTTGATAGGAGTGAATGGAGACAAATGGTTTTTATACTTGACGTGCTGTTTGAGTGTGAGCAAAAGTAACATTTATGAAGGGATTCGGGAAACCGCAGGCCGACTTGAGTCCTGGAGATGGGAAGTACAGTGCCTGCACTCTGAAGGAGGATTTAATGTTGCAGTTTAAAAACTGTAGTGTAAAGCACCCTTCTGGCAAGACTGTGATGGAGTGAATGATGGTAAAGTTTTTCTTTTCGGCCACCCTGCCTTGGTGGGAATCGGCCGGTGTGATAATAAAAAAAAAAAAAAAAAATAATGTAGTATACATATGCATCAAACCCCACACTTGGAGTTGTACATCAAACCACACAATTTAGGAGTCAAAATCCAATCTCCAAAATTTAAGTGTTTGTGCATCAAGCCCCTAAATGGGGTTGTGCATTAAACCCTACATTTAAGAAAAGGTCATATGCTAAGCCTGCTTAAAAAAAAAAAAAAAAAAAAGGTAACATGAGAGACTCCACAAATTATCTATTTTTCACAGGTTTGCCATCAGTAAAAACATTGGATAAATCAAACTCTTCAAAATATGGAACCCTCGAATTAGATGCTGACCGTACAGCTTCATATTCTTGAATGATCATGATGCCAGTAAAATTAAAGTTATTTGATCTTGCATATGGTTCGAGTTTCTTCTGTCAAAATTTTGTTGTCATAGTAAAAGAAAATTTTTTTGCATGATAACAGAACCTAAAAATATTAATGTGATGTATAATACAGTGTTTACTAACACACTACTGTACAGTGCTACTAACACACACTGTATTACACTGTTACATCAACTGCGGTACAGTACAGTGTTACTACTACTTACTCTCACACTACAGTACAGTGTCAACTATCACACTACTGTAAAGTACATTGTATCACTACAAACTACTGTAAAGTAACATGTCCACTATCACACTGGTACAGTACAGTATTTCAGTAATACTGTATTTAATAGAGCTTCCATCTCTTGTTGTCTTTGTCAGATTTTTATCTTGTTAAATCTTCATAATATCAATGTGTTTTCATCAGTTACAAAGTACATTCACCTGTTAACCTACATTCACCTGTTAACCTACATTCACCTGTTAACCTACATTCACCTGTTAACCTACATTCACCTGTTAACCTACATTCACCTGTTAACCTACATTCACCTGTTAACCTACATTCACCTGTTAACCTACATTCACCTGTTAGCCTACATTCACCTGTTAACCTACATTCACCTGTTAACACCTGCCTATGTGAGGGCACTTTATAAGTTTGCATTTTTAGGCTGTATACTGTTATCTTCTCCCTGTATTTATTCATTTAATGTATTTTTGCTCATTCACTCTTATTTTGTTTCTATTTTACTCCTCATCTTATTCTTGAGTATTTAATTTAACTTTCATTATAAGTACGTACTGTATTACAATACTGCTTGTCAAGCTTTTACCCTTGTTATTGTCACTGTACTTCTCCATAGTCTTAAAATATGTGTTGCTTCCTCTTTATATAAGTTTGTGTGTTAGAGGTACTTTTACCTTTGACTAATTTCTATGGCAGAAAAATTTGCATCTGTGCTCCGGGAGCAACAAGAAATCCGACGAGATCGAGAACAGCAAAGAATCAGGCTGTTGACTGCAGATCCTTTTGACATGGAAGCTCAGCGTCTCATTGCTAATGAGATTCAGCAGGAGGTGAGAGATCAACAATAGTTTAATATAAGTACTGTATCCAGAAATTTGTTAATATGACAATCTGTGGGACTCGTATAAAATTTTGAACATTGGCTGGAGGGCAGTGTCGACAAATATAAGTAATTACTAAGACACAGAGCCAGAGCAAGTCTTTGTCAAGACAAGTGTTTCATTCAAGGAGACCTTAATCAAGTCATGATAGTGCTCTCCTTGCCTTGATATAGACTTATGCTGGCTCTAATGGTCTTTGTATTACAGTACTTAATGTTGAATAAGTTTTCTTCATTATCATCATTGAGAATAAGAGTAGTTGTAAGAAGGAATGGAGATACTCTACAAGTCCTAGTTCTTTTTTTTTTAATGTGTGTTCAGTGCCAAAATTTCAAAATTGTGTAGGTAATTCTGAACAAGGACTTGCAGAGGCTCAGGCGTTAAGCCCAATGAATATGGGACACACTTGCTACTTAACTGTACTCAATGGAGCCTAAAGTTAGAAGTGATCTTAATATTGTTGAATAGCTAGCGTGCACTTGATTTACCTCTAGTATGGGAATGTAATTTTAGATGCCTCTACTTATGTCTGTTTTCCACAGAATATTGATATCAGAATGTCCCTCTAAGTATGTCTGCCTTCCACAGCATATTAATGTCACCATATCTCTCTTAAGTATGTCATCATTCCACTTAATATCATGTTCACAATATCACTTTGTACCTTTCACAGAATATCAATGCCAATATGGAAGCAGCCATGGAATACAACCCTGAAAGTTTTGGCACTGTGCACATGCTTTATATAAACTGTAAAGTCAATGGTCATGATGTGAAGGCTTTTATTGACTCAGGTTAGTAAACTGTTTGCTGCTCTTGCTATGAATGTTGAAGTTTTATAGATGTGGTAGTTAATACCCTAAACTCTGCTGTTTTTTCTGTGAATGTTAATGTTATGAATGGTGGATAACAGTAGTTAGCACTATAAGCTTCTAGCAGATTTTGCTGTGAATGTTGAAGTTATTTACAATTGATTACGGTAAAGTAGTTAGTAACATAAGCTTTTTGTTGCTCTTGCTCTGAATGTAGAAACTGTGTTGATTAGTTAATAAATTATTTTTGATGTTTTTATATTTTTTATCTTTTCTTTTGTACAGTATTATTGTATAAATTTTGTATTGGTCACCATTATTTTCCAGTGATGGTAATATAACTGTGATCTTCCAATTTAGGCGCACAGACAACCATCATGTCACAGGCATGTGCCGAGAGATGCAACATAATGCGTCTGGTGGACACTCGGTGGGCAGGCATTGCCAAGGGTGTTGGCACACAGAAAATTATAGGACGTGTTCATATGGGCCAAATACAGATCGAAAGAGATTTTCTGGCATCGTCCTTCAGTATACTTGAAGAACAGCCAATGGATATGCTTCTGGGACTTGATATGCTAAAGAGGCACCAAGTGAGTAGGAGTAACAGTATGTTAAATGATTATAACAGTGTATTTGGAAAGCATATAAATCTATAGGGGAAGGAAGGTGGGGTAGGGGTCATCCTCGAAAGGGTTGGAGAGAGGGGGTAAAGGAGGTTTTGTGGGCAAGGGGCTTGGACTTCCAGCAAGTGTGCGTGAGCGTGTTAGATAGGAGTGAATGGAGACAAATGGTACTTGGGACCTGACGATCTGTTGGAGTGTGAGCAGGGTAATATTTAGTGAAGGGATTCAGGGAAACCGGTTATTTTCATATAGTCGGACTTGAGTCCTGGAAATGGGAAGTACAATGCCTGCACTTTAAAGGAGGGGTTTGGGATATTGGCAGTTTGGAGTGATATGTTGTGTATCTTTATATGTGTATGCTTCTAAACTGTTGTATTCTGAGCACCTCTGCAAAAACAGTGATAATGTGTGAGTGAGGTGAAAGTGTTGAATGATGATGAAAGTATTTTCTTTTTGGGGATTTTCTTTCTTTTTTGGGTCACCCTGCCTCGGTGGGAGACGGCCGACTTGTTAAAAAAAAAAAAAAATTGGAAATGTACCTACAGTGTATTTTATTATATTCTTCACAATTTATGTTTGTTTCAATGGGTTTATTTGCTATTATCAGATTTTTATTTAAGTGTTTTCTGGCATCTGATAATGGTAGGCCTATGTGAAAGAGGGATATATTACCACTTATTTATCAGTCATATACATTTTTAACTGGTTTTTCGCATCTGTTTGCTAGTTATACAAAATTTTACTCAAGACATTCAATATTTCTGACTGAACACCATGAGAAGTCAAGCTGAAATAACATATAGTGGTTGATCTGGACTTAGCACTTCTTGGACTCTTTCCTGGTGGTCTCAGAATTATAGAGAAGTGCTCACATGCTGATATTTTAAAATTTTGGAGTACATTTAAACTATCTACTGATTTGCCTGCCTCTCCTCCAACCATTTTATTTTGAGCAGATGGTACTATTAATATTGATATCTTTATGTATTATTTAGTTTTTAATTTTCATTTTTATTTATAATGGGCACACACAAATAATTTGTAGCAGCATTTACCTCACTGATCTATCAACTTTTGCTATATGCTTTTTTACTCATTGGTTATTCAGTGCCCTCAGTAATGTATGAGGAATAGCACTGCACTACAGTGCAAGATATTATACGCATAATTCACTGATGCATTCTTAATTTTTTGGCAGATGTGCATTGACCTAAAGAACAATAAACTTCACATTGGTACTACTGGAACAGCAACAACTTTCTTGAGTGAAAGTGAACTACCTGACTGTGCTCGCCTCACACCACTCAGTGAAGAGGAAGCCCGGCGGCAGTCTGAGAGAGCAGCCAAGGAATCGGAAGACCGTGCTTTGGCTGAAGCATTAGCAGCAAGTGCAAGAGAAGGTGCTGTTGCTGGTCCTTCAACTTCAGGGACATGTAAGAGTCAATAGTTTTACTAGTGGCAGTGTGGTAATTAATATACAGGTATTTTATATAATACCTGTAGAGTATTTTATCTCTGCACCTTAAAAGTATGGTATCTAATTAATTTTATGATATTCGCTAATCCACATGGCTTAGTTAGCAGTGCACTCAGCTCATTTACTAAGTGTCTGTGGTTTGATTCCTAGCACGGGTGGAAACGTTAGGCATGTTTCCTTACACCTGCTATCCCTGTTCACCTAGCATTAAGTAGGTACTTGGGTTAGTCAACTGTTGTGGGTTGCATCCTGGGGGTGGTGGTAGTATCTCTTAGATAGGGCTGGCCTTGGAAATGAGCTGAGGTAGGATAACAGCTCTTAGCATATGAAGTTGTAAATAACGATATGGTCAACATAAACAACAAAAATAATACGCTAGTTCACTCTAAAGAGTGCATTAGTAATAAATGTGTAAAGAAAGACTAATGGAAGTATGTACACTATACTAAAGAAATGGATTGATAAATCAAGATGGAACCAAGTGGTTAGCTCTAATACAAGCAGTGATAAGAAAGGGTATGATTAAAGCTCTGTAAAATTGTGGGAGGATCATGTGTGTGCAAATAATGGAAAAAAAATAACCAAGAATTTCTTAAAATTATTTTAATCGCATGAAATTTCTTGTTTTGCAGCACATCAGCTTACGTCTTCCAATTCATCTGCAGCATCGGCTCCGTCCAAGGCTGTGGCTGCATCTGCTTCCTCACCAGTAGATGGCACATCAGAGCAAGATCATTTTTCAGAATCTGATGTACAGGAAATTATACAAATAGGATTTACTAGATCACAAGCTATTGAAGAATTGAGACGGCAAAATGGCAATAAGACCCAAGCAATTGCTGCTCTTTTTGCTAAGTCATTTAAAATGTAGTCTTACATTATCCTAGGACCCTCTTGCATAATTAGTAATATTAAATAATTTAAAAGTTACGAAGATAGCGTGATTCATTATGCATATTTATACAGTATGTCTTTTTTTTCTTATTTATGCAGTTGCTATTCTTAAAGTATGCAGCACCTAGTCCATGATGCAGACTTCCTCAAGCATCTTTTTTATTACTTATTACAGTTTATGAGTACTGTAATGCTATAATGGTTGCTACTGATCCTTTCTTGTTGGTCATGAGATTATGTGAAGCAGGTATATTGCTCTCACTTCATTATATGTTAAGGAGAGTGAGTTTTTTCTTTGTACATTTATACTGTTTGCTTGTCTCCATGCTCAAGATGAATATTCATAAATTTAGTTAGCTTTTATACACTGCTTTTCTTTATACCTTAGATAATTTCAGCATTTTTAATGTCACCTATTAATAAGAAGTTTGCATTTTTACATACATTTTATTGTTAATTTAATATAATGTATTTTACTTTATAATTTAAATCACATCACAAAATCATTAGTCTCATTATTCCTCACTGGAGGTATCTAGATACCAATGAAGGGCTCTTGATCCTAGGAGGTGAAACTATTCTCACCTTGGATTGATTGTGATTGCCTTTCATTCACCATGCACTGTATGACCCCTACAGGTTTAGCACTTCCTCCCCTGATTAAAATAATAATTAGTCTCAATAAATATGCAAGTAGACTTACTAAATTTTCACGACTATATTTTTGCAAGTTAATATTAAGAGGTTTAATTTAGTTATAAATTTTTTATGACTGATGGGTAAAACAAGTTATAGATATTTGTATTATGTTTTGATGACATATGTATGTGAGGCTGATGAATGATATTTGCTGTAGTGATATAAAATCACAGACACACTACAAGTATTGTAAATATGAGTTTTGTTAATATAAGTCAGATATTCTGATGTTTGTCTTTCTTTGATGCCCTCTATTGTGTGCTCTGTGGATGCCATACAGTATTGTGTATATTATACTCACACTACAATACAGTATTGTGTATATTATACTCACACTACAATACACAATCATGTATGTTAAATTCACATTGCAATACACAATCATGTATGTTACACTCAGTACAATACACAATCATGTATGTTACACTCACTACAATACACAATCATGTATGTTACACCTACTACAATAGACTATCATGTATGTTACTCTCACTACAATAGACTATCATGTATGTTACACTCACTACAATAACATCTATGTATGTTACACTCACTACAATAGACTATCATGTATGTTACACTACTACAATACACAATCATGTATGTTACACTCACTACAATACCCAATCATGTATGTTACACTCACTACAATAGACTATCATGTATGTTACACTCACTACAATACACTATCATGTATGTTACACTCACTACAATAGACTATCATGTATGTTACACTCACTACAATAGACTATCATGTATGTTACACTTACTACAATAGACTATCATGTATGTTACACTCACTACAATAGACTATCATGTATGTTACACTTACTACAATAGACTATCATGTATGTTACACTCACTACAATAGACTATCATGTATGTACACTCACTACAATAGACTATCATGTATGTTACACTCACTACAATAGACTATCATGTATGTTACACTCACTACAATAGACTATCATGTATGTTATACTTACACTACAATATATTTATATACAATACTCTGTTTAACTCACTACAATAATTCAAGATGATTCACACAATACTAGCATGTATAACCCTATCTTCAGATGTGTTATAATCCTATGGATATTCTATTAGCATATTAATGACCCTAATCCAGGTATATTAACTTATATAGCTGTTTACCATGATGGGGGGGTTCTCTATAAGATGTTGGTGAAGGGTTCTTGATACAAAGAATTAGAGCTGCCGTCACTTCCATAGCTCAGACCTGATTACCTCCCATTCCCAGGTGTGGTATGACCCCTGCGTGCTGTGCACTTCATAAATAATAATTTTTTTTTTCAACAAGTTAGCCGTCTCCCACCGAGGCAGGGTGACCCAAAAAAGAAAGAAAATCCCCAAAAAGAAAATACTTTCATCATCATTCAACACTTTCACCACATTAAAATGGTATAAAATACCGACAGGTTGTTAGGTAAGACACATATGCAACAGTTAGGTATCTTTATTTCGAAACGTTTCGCCTACACAGTAGGCTTCTTCAGTCGGGTACAGAAAAGTTGATAGAAGCAGAAGATACTTAAAGACGATGTAATCAGTCCATCACCCTTAAAGTTTTGAGGTGGTCAGTCCCTCAGTCTGGAGAAGAGCATTGTTCCATAGTATGAAACAAGGGTATCTTGGTACAGACCTGCAATCAACTTCGACAACCTCCACTAGTGAGAACGGCTGGATTTGAGAGGGACCTGACCTCCCAACATCTGAGTTCTTACCTCTTCTAGTGACCTACGTCTCACCTCTTGGCCCTATATAAGGCTACATCCTGTCACTTCATCTACATATTGTTTCATACTATGGAACAATGCTCTTCTCCAGACTGAGGGACTGACCACCTCAAAACTTTAAGGGTGATGGACTGATTACATCGTCTTCAAGTATCTTCTGCTTCTATCAACTTTTCTGTACTCGACTGAAGAAGCCTACTGTGTAGGCGAAACGTTTCGAAATAAAGATACCTAACTGTTGCATATGTGTCTTACCTAAAAACTTTCACCACACTCGCACATTATCACTGTTTTTGCAGAGGTGCTCAGAATACAACAGTTTAGAAGCATATACATATAAAGATACACAACATATCCCTCCAAACTGCCAATATCCCAAACCCCTCTTTAAAGTGCAGACATTGTACTTCCCATTTCCAGGACTCAAGTCCGACTATATGAAAATAATAATAATAATAATAATACATATACATAATTGTGGTTGAGAGAGGAAAGAGTGAGGTTGGAAAGTTATTTGTTTCATTATAATTTTATCTTGTTTATTTAATCGTCTGCATTCGTTTATTTTTTTTTTATTCCGGGTTTAGCCCTTAATTTATTGTATTAGGTATTATTATTATCCAATGCTTTATGACCCTTGTGGGTTTAGCGCTTAGTTTTGATTGTAATAATTATTTTTAAAATATAAAGTGCTAAACTGTTACTAATATAATCATATTACACCAGTCAATAAATCAACCAGTCTATTAATTAATCAAATCGATCTTTTATTAATTTAATTAGTCTATTAATAAAACAATCAAACCAGTGATCAATCAATCAAAAAGTCTACTAGTCAACAAAATAATGTCTATTTATGTATCACCCATCAAGGAAGGTTCCTTGATGGTGGTGGGGGGCTCTTGATCTAGGGAATTGGATCTGTGCCCCAGTTCCCTGAATTGAGCCTGAATGCCTTTGATCTCCTCCCCCCCTCCCACATGCGCTGTATAACCCTATGAGTTTAGTGCTCCCCCATGATTATAATAATATTAATGTATCAGTGAGTCACGTGGTAATATTTTGATTTTATAGCCCCGCCCCTCAGCACCGTCTTGGCTCATGATTGGCCACAAGATGGAGTAGCCCACATTCACAGTTACTTTTCTAGTCTATTCCGATGGCAAACTTAATTAGTAATATTGATATAACACCAAGTGTTAGCTATCTATATAGCGAACATGTTCCTAAAATATAACAAGCTCATATAACGTATGTCAGTAAAAATGCTAGTAGGTAACTCATGCAAGACATGCGTTCACATTCGGCTCAACGGCGTCAGTGCTCAGCTGGACACAGAAGAGTGAAGTGTAGCTCCTATCAAGCTGCTGCATCTTCACTTAGTGCTGTTGAATTCCTAAACAACGATGAGTTTTTCACAAGTGACCCATGAATACAGCGTTGATAGCGAACTTCACCGGTAGTTACCACGTATAAAGGACTGTAATTGGTGGAGCCAATATTCAGCTCCTGGTCCTGCCTTTGAACTTCTAATTCGCTAGCATTTACTGAGTCCAGGCGTGTAGGGTCCTGTCATACCTACTCTTGCAACTGTGGATTGTGTGCAGCTAGTGGTAGCGTCAGCATGGGAGTGCACAGAGTAGTGGAGGTGGCACAGTCATTGGTCTTTGGTCTAGTGGCGTTGGTGTCGAGTCCACCACATGTGGTTCTGGTCGGTCTGGACTCCTCTGGTAAGACTACAGCTCTGTTGCGTCTTAAGTACGGCCAGTATGTGAACGCTGTGCCCACTGTGGGCTTTAACTGCGAGAAGGTGCGTTGTGGGGGCGGCCAGTGGCTGGTATGGGACGTAGGGGGCGCCGAAAGGGTTCGTCCTTTGTGGCGGTCATACACCCGTGCTACTGACGCTCTCATCTTCGTGGTGGACTCCAGCAGCGGTCCAGACCGCCTGGAGGAGGCCCGTCTGGAGCTGCACCGCCTTACCCGTCAGCAGAACCATGAGTGCCTGGCCCTCAACAGGGCTCGTCCTCCACTGCTAGTGCTGGCCAACAAGCAGGACTTGCCTGGGGCCAAGGACACCCAGCAACTGGCCAAGGCCCTAGGCCTACCTGACCTGCCGCAGCCGCAGGCCTGGGCGGTGGCCGCCGCATGTGCCGTCACGGGTGAGGGTCTGGATGAAGCTATGGCTGCCCTCCATCACCTCCTCCTCAAGACAAAGAAGACACACAAGACCAGGAAGTGATCATTAATGTCACCGGTTATCTCCTCATGACTCAGAATAATCAACTGACGAAGACATCTTTGTTCAGGGTATTAAACCACGATAAACCAGGAGTCGAAATGCCCTTAGGGCCCATCGGTCCTCTTCCCTGGAATGTAGACAAGAATAATGGACCAGGAACTAGAGCTCACCAGCAAGACCTGTGCAAATGGAGGAGTATTTTATGATACGAAAATTACTAGTGATGACTTAATTCCAGCAACACAGCAGTGAATAAACTGATATTTTTAATATAAACAGCAGGTTATTGGAATAAGAAACTAAACTGATAAATTCCGTAGTAGGCTTGCTGGCCCATGCTAGGCAGGTCTTACTCGTGAAGTTGCCTGAACTATTTATTAATGTCACTGAAGTGAGTTGTACACCTCCAAGCTGTGGTATTTTTTAGTGAAATTATTGTTCATTTTGTGGTTATACCAGGAAGGTGACTGTTGATATATATTTGAGAGTTCACTTGATTTAATTTTGTACATTGAAACTCTACTTTTCAGGATGACTATTTTGGGCACTTGTTGGGACACGAAACTAAAAGTGGCTTAATTTAAGAACTGGACAATGCAATATGTCAAGTAATGAAGTCAGGCCAGTACTATACAGTTGAGAAATTTGTGATATAAACATTTGTGCCATAAGATACCAACCTTTAATTAACTGCCTTGGCAGTAAACATCAATTTTTTTAATACTTTTTACCACCGTTTTTTAATGTAAGAATTGCTTTTATATCAAAGTGATATATATATATATATATATATATATATATATATATATATTATATATATATATATATATATATAATGCTAATTTATGATTTGTGGATATTAATATGCACTTTAGTTACATTGCCATATATTTATGTATTTATGTATGTATGTATAATTATATTTGCAGTTTGGAGGGGCATCTGAACTGTAGTATGGGCTTGTCTCTGGCAAGACAGTGATAGAGTGAATGATGTTGAAAGTGTTTCTTGTTTATCGGGCCAACCTGCCTCGGTGGGAGACGGCCTAATGCGAGACTTGTACAATATTTGGGTATCTTAATTCTGGTAACATTTCCCTAGCCAGTGGCTTCTTCAGTCCAATGCAGAGAGAGAGGTGGAAGATGAGGTGTTTGAGGTAATCAGTCCCTCAGCCTGGAGTAGATGTGTTCAGTCCATCAAACTGATGAATGTGTTAGACAAGTTTTGAAGAATTCCTGGCATCAAGAACCCAAGATATTGCTGTCTGGTAGAATCTGTATAAATAGTTTACAAAACCAACACCAGGCTGAGGGACTGATTACCTCAAACTACTCTTCACCTTCCACCTTTCTCTGCATTAGACCACTGACTGGCGAAACATTTCCAAAATAAATGTACACAAATGTTGCACAAGTATCTCATTTATCAACTTGTCGGTTTTCTATGCTATTTATTTATTCATAATAGAATGAACACTATTATTATTATTCGGTGCTAGGCTAGTGTTGAGTGTGATCTATGATAATAACATTACCATAATAAGAACATTATGAACATTTCTTGTCATGAGGTGGTAGACAAGTGCCAAAGATTGTTTTTAAATTAAGACATTGGATGTGCCTGTGCATTTGTAATTTATTTTATTTTTGTGATACTTCTGATTTCCCATATCGCATTCATGAGGGTGCGTTAAATCCTTAGGGGTCATTGCAGTGCCTGGGAGAATGTAAGGCAATCAGAAGGAACAAAGGCACAATACCGTGACTGGAACAATACACAAATAACCTGCACATACGAGAAACAAATTTATGACGACGTTTCGGTCCGACTTGGAACATTAACTAGTCACACTAACACACGATACTAAGGGAGCCAGTAAGGTAATCAGATTCCTCTAAGGGGGGAGTGTGAGATCCAGTTCCTTAGATCAGGAGTACCTCACCACCTTGAGGGATTAATTTCCCATAAATGTACAAATTTATCATATCACTATATTAGTCTATATTCTGTATAATATAGTGTATTATGCATATTGTGTAAATTATATTATATTTAAATATATTTTGTTATTGCTACAAATTGACTTGTTATTTTTCTTTTTCTCAGCACAAAATCTGTCGCAAAAATCCATCATCTGGATTTGCTGTAATTCAACGAAACAGATACCAACAAATTCTTCATATAAATAATTGCCATTTCCCGCTGTTAACTCTATACTCTCCCTGTGTTTATCTCTTCTCGCTGCTCATATCTATACTCTCCCTGTGCTTATCTCTTCTCCCTGCTCATATCTATACTCTCCCTGTGCTTATCTCTCCTCTCTGCTCATATCTTTATGCTCCCTGCGCTTATCTCTTCTCCCTGCTCATATCTTTATCCTCTCCCTGTGCTTATCTCTTCTCCCTGCTCATATCTTTATACTCTCCTCTCTCATCTTGGTATCCTTCCTCTTTGTAGTTCACTACACATCTCTGTACTCTGCCTGTTGTTATCTCCGTTGTTGGACACACCTCACAGTGGCTCATTATGACAATGAATAAATTACCGGTAGTATTTCAGCGCTTGTGAATATAATCATCATTAAGAGCGTAAAATCTGTGTGAATACTTAGAGCTGGTCTCTACCACTGGAACACCTGTTGCTGCGACGTGATTTACATCTTAACTAAGTACGTGTATGTAGGCAAATTTTTTTTTTTTTTAATTTTAGGGTTATGGTTATAGATACAAAAAGAACAAATTTTGTTGGTTTCTGATGTAGTGGTGCTGTTGATAAAAAGTACCTTAGTGATCTTATGGCCTGACAGTCTAGTAGGTAGTGGATATGATCTATTCAGCATATTTATCCTTGAGTAAGTCCTGAACAGTACATAAATGTTTATCCACATCCTGTCTGTATCACCTGCCATTTACAACCTTGCAAATAGTGTATTAACGGTAGGATGACAATGCTGAAATTCCTCTGCAAACATCGTAATTTAGTTTTGGGTGACGTGGCCTAGATGTAACTAATAAATAGGTGCGCTGAAGTTTGGTCATCCATAAACCATACCATGGGCGGGGATGAACCCGCGATCAGAGTCAAAATACTCCGGACCGACGCATTAGCCACTGGGCCAGCTGTCTTGGTCATCCATGTAGACCTGGTCGAGGACCGGGCCGCGGGGGCGTTGACCTCCGCAACAATTATTCTAAGTTTGTTACTTTGCTGAGGGCTTCTTTGTCTTGTGATGAAAGGTACTTGCTCGCCCTTTATGGTTAATTTGTAACATTCATTGCAGTCAGTCCCCCTCCCTTGAATACCAACGAGGCTTAGAATCCAGTTGAGTATGGCTGCACTTGTGTGTATCTAAGATCAGGTAAAATTTTGTTCTGATTTTTAACCTGGAGTGTTGGCCACCCAGAATAATTTAATTGTCTGCGTCATCGTCTCCCAGGATGCGACTCAAAGTAGTCGACTAACATCCAGGTACCTACTCACTGTTGTGTGAGTAGGTACAACAGGTGTAAGGAAACATGCCCAACTTTACCACCCGTGCCGAGGATCGAACCATGGACACTTAGTGTGTGAACTGAGTGCGCTATCAACCATCCTTTTTGCTGATCTCAAGACATTATCTTCAGGGTCGCACTGTTCGTCATTCACTGACATATACTGCTATCATCCAGACCCGACTTTACCATGCTGTCTCCTACTACAATTACCATATACACGTTATTATTTTTACGATACTCCAATACTGAAACTATGTACTGTGCCAAAACAAAAACATTCACATTGCTAAACTCACAAACTAGTATTTAGTCACTTAGCCATAATACCAACTTACCTCATAATTTGTAATATTTTAAAATAAAGAATTAAACTAAGTCTGCTCGAAATGCCTAGCCATGCTAGGTGCTCTAGTGGTACACTGTAATGCCTAGCCATGCTAGGCGTTCTAGTGGTACACTCTGTAATGCCTAGCCATGCTAGGCGTTCTAGTGGTACACTCTGTAATCATTATTTAACTACATGTAAACCACACAACAACCAAATTCTGTAAATTCAACATTGTAATCTTTATAGAGAATAAACTTTGAATTTGAATTCATGGGATAGCGCTAAATCCGTAGGGGCCATACGGCGCCTGGGGAACTGGGAAGCAAACAGGTTCAATCCAAGGAAAGGGAGGTCAGGTCCAATTCCTTGGATCAAGAGCCTTTTACCAGCATCGAGGAACCTCCCTTGAGGGGATAGCATGGCAAGAGTTAACCTCCTTTTTATTCACTGTTATATTTAGCATATCTCACTGCCTTCCAAAACAACTTTACCAGGGTCTTTGACGTTGTTTACCACATACACATTATTATTATATCCTCTTTCAGCACTAAACCCTCATGGATCATACAGCACTTCTGTACTGAGATGTAATCAGATTTCATCTGGTATATATAATTTTTGTCCAGTATACAGTGAGCAGCTCTCAGCTGGTCTGCAGGACTTATTACCTACAGTCATATAAAACACTCAGGAGGTCCCCATCTGGAACTGCTCTTACAGTTGATAGATAAGACACATAGGCAACTTTATTTCGAAACGTTTCGCCTACACAGTAGGCTTCTTCAGTCGAGTACAGAAATTAGGCAGGAGCAGTAGAGATGTGAAGACGATGTAATCAGTCCATCACCCTTGAAGTCGTAGATTTGAGGTTGTCAGTCCCTCAGCCTGGAGAAGTTCTGTTCCAAAGTCTGGAACTAACTGAAGATCAAGCGACAGTGTAGAGACTTAAATACTGTCGGAAGGAGAGGTGCAGAGTAGTAGTAGTGAGAATGTAGCCACTGAGAGGTCATGTCCCTCTCAGTTGTCCAGGGTGTTTTCTCTTCTGTACCAAGATGCCATTGTGTTTTCTCAATTTGTGTGCCAGATCCTCAGCCAGTCATGGTGGTGTGTTGTCCTTCATCCAGTCCTCTATCCCCATGTGTCTTGGTTGAAAAGCAATCTCCTAGTCCCACTCTTGTGGCGATTTTTCAGAGGTTAGGTTAGGTTTTCTCTTGTTTCTTGTGCTGAAACGTCGTCTGCTCTTACAGTTGTTTTGGACATCCACAGCTGCCCTGCTTCCTATTCAGTATATTAGCAGTTGCACCTTCCATTGTTACCACTGAGCAGTTGAAAGAACAGGCACCTCCACCTGGCGAGTTCTGAGTAGTTAGGATGACTATAAAATAACTGAGAGCTGCTCACAGTGTATATATATTATGTTTGGATAAAAATATACCTATATAAACTGAAAATTATCCGTGTAGCAATCCATGAAGCAGACTCAGCGTCTCCTGCCTGACCTCTGCCATGACAAAAAAATTAAATTACCTCCCGTGTTTACAAGGAATGTTGCTTATTTCCTGTTGGGTCATGAAGGATCCCATTACTTACACTACCTTATAAGAAATTAATGTCGCTATTGTTCTTTATACCGTAAACAAATACAATACATTCTTATTTGTTTTTGCTTTTATGGTAAATACTATGTTGTTGTAGTAGTAATAATAATAATAATAATTGCCTCAATAATAATATTCAATAATCTGTATAGTCCTTGTGGCTTAGCGCTTCTTTTTGATTATAATAATAATATTCAATATTTCTGTGGATCGGATGAACTTTTTTGCAAAGGACTTCTGAAAGTTTAAATGATTTATGGTTACTACGTTATCCTTGGAGTGACGTCAGAGGCCACCTGTTGACCTCACCATTGACCTACTGATGTACTTGTGGCTATTATTAAT